GTTCTTCGATTACGTGGTGGTATGCAAATCTTTGTTAAAACACTCACTGGCAAAACAATAACACTCGAAGTTGAACCAAGTGATACTATTGAAAATGTTAAAGCCAAGATTCAAGACAAAGAAGGTATCCCACCTGATCAACAACGTCTCATCTTTGCCGGCAAACAACTTGAAGATGGTCGCACATTGAGCGATTATAATATTCAAAAGGAAAGCACACTTCACCTTGTTCTTCGACTTCGAGGTGGTGATGATCAATAAAAATGCTTTTTAAAGTATCCAAGTCATTATGTATAATTTTTTTCTCGTACTCATTTAGTGCATTATTTTAATTTGTTTATTTAATAATAAATGCACCGAATATGGATATATAAATGTTGAGCTCACTGATAAATTCTTAAGATTTGCAGATATTAAATTAGTTTTATTCTCCATGAATTGTATAGTGATATACGATGTGAAAGGGACAGTAATAGTTTTACTAATTTTATGAAAAAAATTGTCAATAATAGAACATCATCCACTTTTTAAACTAAAAAAAAGAACATGATTATTAAAGTTTGCTGTGTTTCAAAAAAAAATATAGAAACGGATTTTCTTTAGACACCGTTATATCTTAGACGAGCAATATAGTACGTTAAATACGGTACAAATTGTTTTTGAAATATATGTATTAATGAATGTAATAATGCATTCGTTTTTTACGACGTTTATTCTTATGTATTGAACACCATATAAACCATGTATTCGTACTTTAAAGTAAGAATTCGACGAAAGGCTTACTAAAATATTTCAGTCCATTCTAACGATATTGAAAAGCCTCTCGTTACCATCGGTGAGACTGTCTACCGCATTATCTTCAATTGCGTCGTTCTATAGGGTGAACAATCTGTTTCATCATTCGCATCATCTGAACAAATTCTTCGTTTTTTTGGTTGATCTCCTTGATTTGAACTCTGATATTTGTTTTCTCCTGAGGTCAATCCTTGATCTTTCTTATTCAGTTTTGTTTTAACGTTAATAATATTCTTACAATATGTGTTTTCATTATTTTTTTAAGAGTCACTGTAGGAGAGCCATGCTAGACCGTGCTCAATTAATAATTTCAAATTTCAATGAAAGTTATCCCATTTTGTGAAGTTGATTTTTCTAAGAATATAGCCAAACTTTAAAACCTAACGAATTAATTTTAGCTGAGATACGATGATTCGATTAATAGCACCCAAATTAGCCTTTTATCAATTTCATACATTTCTTGTCAATCAATTATTTGAAATATTTTCACGATATCTCTTCATAGGTATGTGATAGACTTCTGAAAGTTTTACCACACATACATTTCAAGATGAGTAATCCAACCATCCTATCCTATAATGTCTAATTCGTGATCAATTACCACTGAAATTTTCACTTCAGTTCTAGTCTATTTATATATTAAGCTCAAAAATAGCCTATCTTTGCGATAGACGTTTTCCAAATCAGTGTGATAGAATTTTCTCAAACTTTTTCCTAAAGACTACTAACTGGATGCTACTTGAGTATGCAATCACAGGTTTGGGATTCTAAAATTTGACTCGACAAGGGTATTGGTGTAGGTTTGTGTATGAATGTTCTAGCGAGCGTTGCAGCCGGTAGGGTTTTTTCCAGATCGATATGAGCCATTGTTCAGTTTTCTCGTCCTGTAATAGTCACATCAACCTTCTAATGAGTCATATCTACCTGTGATTCACTGTAGATATTACTTAAGGTTTTAGTGTCACTATTAAAGTGCTGTTGTGAAGGATCATCATCAATGAGTGTTGAAGTTGAAATGGAAACAGCAGACTTTAAGACTATGAGATTTCGGGAGGTCATAGGGCTTCACAACGAAAGCCACAGTTCTTTCCTCTCGTTTTGAAGTACACAACGAGACCATTGCTCGCATCTTCGTGGTTCACTTCGAAAATTGCTGCAAAGATGCCGATGCCCTTTTAACCTAGTGACAAGGATTTTTATATGTGAAGCGATTTAGCAGGTCTTCCATCGTGCTGGTATTGGATCTCGTAATTGTCTGTCATTTGGATAAGGAAATTTTCCCCTTGGATTCCCAAAACAATTACAGTAGCTCCATCATATTGAATTTTTTAACTCTGCAGAGATTGCACTGAAAGTTTGTCCTTCGCATTTCCATAGGTTTTCTCTATTTTGACAACTATTAGTAGACATAAAACTTAAGAGGATCTCAGCTTCTGTACTAGCTTTCCTTATTAATAAAATATTCACCAGACATAGAAATTTCGAGTCGACTGTAGCTTTACTCTGCGTCTCTCAACAGGTTTACTTTGCTACCTCTTTCGTCTCTACAAAAGATATTGTAAAAATCATACAAAATGAAATCAATTATGTAACAAATTACAATAACAAACAGTGATTTGACAAAAATAGTCATTGATACCATAAAACTAGTTTAGTATGCAAAAATAAACATCTCTATGATTCATATTTTGAAAAAAAAAATATATGGATAAATCGAAAAAAATCTAGACCGGCCGGTATATCAACCCGTAAGGAATTCTAGACCCAAACGGATCGGTCGTTTACTGTTATCAGTTGCAACACTGGTGTGGATGGCAGGGAGGAGGTATGTCTATGAATGAATTTGTGTGGAATTAATACTGATAGTAATTCTACACTCACACCCACATCCGCATCTGTACCAGAACCAAATTGATCATCTGTATAAACATTCACTATCTACTTTTTATTAAGTTTTTCTTCAATAAACTTTTGTGAAACAAGTTCACGCACAACAGATCCATCATCTTCATTTTCAGCAAACCAACGGTTACACTGAAACACATATGTTTTTGTCTTTTGACCTTTGATTAATGGACAAATTTCAACATGATCTAAATGCCATGATGGACCTATTTAACGATAAAAAAAAAAGTGATTCATAATCAAATATCTATTTTCTCTTACTAAAACCACTATTATCATGTCCAATACGAATTTTTTCAATATAATCTCCAATATCTTCAAGTTCAAGTATAAAAGTATCTATAGAACCCATTTGAAATTTTTCGTTTTGATCTATTTCATTACATAACATAACTTGATCAGTTGATTTTTTAAGACCATAAATTTGAATATAAACATTAGCATCTGTTCCTGCACCAAACATATTTGATGTATAAATTTTTATTTGATATGAAACATCTAATGAAATATTTTTAAATATTTAATAAATACAAAAAAAAATTCATTTTTTATTTTTACATGATGAATAAATATCAGTTAATATCTCTTTTGGATATAATTCAACTTCTAATTGACAAGTATGTTTTGTTTTATTTAACCATTTTCCACATGGAAATATCCATGTATGATCTAATTTTGGTACATTAATTTCTACACATTCTAATAACCAATCTGATGCAAAACCTGAATTATCATGACCAATTCTTAACAAAAGAAAAAATTACAATTAAATAATTCTTTGATAATATTTTATTCATACTTAATCTTTGTTGGTTGACCAATATCTATAGCTTCAATTTCAAATAGATCTCTATGACCTTTTATAAATGGATCTTTATGTGTTTTAGATTTAACTAATGGAATTTTGTCTATTATTAAAATAAACATATTTTTATTTTATTTAATTAATAAAACAAAATCTTACCAGTATCATCATGTTCACCAAATATAATTATATAAACATTAGCATTTGTACCACTACCAAATTTATTCGCAGTAATCACATTAATTCGATAAGTTATAGCTAATGTGATGATTTACAAAAAAAAATAAAAATAAACATTTAATATAAATTAAATTTTTAACTAAAATAAAAATTAAGAGTTTTGACAATAGAATACGTGCCAGAAAAAAAGAAGACATACCCAAAAAGAACGAATACAGATGAGAATATTATTTTATTGATTATTTATTAAAATTAATTCTTGTTTTTTTTTTTTTAAACTTACTTTGACGTTTAGGTAATTCAGAAAGTATTTTATTTTCAAATGTAGGAATTTCACGTGATATCATTCTATCGTCTATATTAACAGCTAACCATTTTTCACATATAAAATGATATCTTTTAAATAGTAGAAAGATAATTGAAGAATTTTTATTTCAATTTTTTTCTATTATATTTACCGAGTACCACTTTCAAGATCAACAATTTCAATTCGATCAAGATACCATGCAGAAGCAATCTGTAGAAATAAAACAAAAACAAAAAAATAATGAATTTTTAAATAAGACTTTTATGTAGAGAAGAGATGTTCAGAAATGAGAGAGAAGTGACAAAATTTTGTATAGGAAATAAATGATGATCCTTATCAATAAAGGATAACCTCATCTTTCAAATTTCTCGAGAAATCTTTGTGAAAACTTAAATTTGACTCTTTATCTTCTCTAGGTGAGGATAATAATTTATATTTATCAGCCGATATGAGATATATTAAAAATTGATACTGAACTCTAGTTTCTTTATAACAAGCTGCTTATAAACGAGGGAAAAATAATGGACTTCAACACTTTAAATGACTTTTAAAAACTTAAAGAGAGTTCAAATATCTCATGAGACATCAAGACTGAGGTTTCTACTGGGCCGTTTCCCCAATCATGGGATACAACTCATTTCAAAAATAAGAATTTTTCGAAAATTATTCAAGTTTCGATCATTACTACGGACTTCAGATGATTGAAATCTCTCTTCGTGACTTTATGAATACTCATTCTGGTATATTCTTGAGCAAAGAAAGCAAGAGAACTAGTTTTGATAATACGATGATTTATGAAATGATCTGCTGTACTCGTTTTCGAAGAACTACGACCAATCTGCTTTGAAGAAAAGCAACATTTTTTATTCGATCGTTTTAAAATATGTCAAAAAAATGATTGTGAAACAACAACGAAAGATCTGAAATCCATAATAACGGTCGAAACTTGATTAGATATAGACAAAAAAACGCTGTATATTGTTTTCCAACATCGAAAAAAGCCTAATTTTTCTATTATAGGCATAAGCACTACCTTTTTTTACTATGCTGATACACTTGGTCTTTAAGAAAAAAAACTTACTAGTCTCTTCTTTCAAATAAAATAAAAAAAAGCTTTGGGATTAAGTTTCATTAGTAACAGAATTACAGGCATTAATTAAGTGAGCATGACTTTCGGACACTCTGTATATGCATTAGAATGAAAGAATACATATGAAAATGTAATGTCTAAATCTTCCTAAAAAAAACTTCTATGAGACCACCTTCAAA